TCATGTCACATGTGTCCTTCGATCCTCCCCCTTCTGCAACACCTCTTGTTCCCCTCTCATGGTCTCCTATTTAGTTCATAACCTATACGTACCCTCATATCCCCTTACATGCATGTATACAGACATTAAAAGTTAGGATCCATATATAGAGAACATGCAAGTTTTGTCTTTCTGAATCTGAGTTACCTGATTTAGTACAATTCTAGATCCTTCCATTTTCCTGAAAGTTGTATAATTTCATTGTTCTTTATAGTTGAGTCAAATTCTACTATATGTATACTATATATGCATATATATCACATTTTCATTATCCATTTATCTGTTGATGGACATCTAAGCTGGTTCCATTTTCTTGCTATTATGAATAATATAGCCATAAACATTGGTGTGTAAGTATCCCTGTGGTAGGTTAGAGTTCTTTGGGTATGTGCCTGGGTATACTTGGGTCACATAGTAATTCTATTTTTATTTTTTTTAAGAATCTTCCATACTGATTTCCACAGTGGCTGTACTAGTTTATATTATCACGAGCAGTAAGGATTCCTCTTCTCCATAGCCTCATCAGTATTTATTGTTATTTGTTTCCTTGATCTTAACCATTCTGAATGGAGTGAAATGGAATCTCAAAGTGGATTTAACTTGCATTTTCCTGATGGCTAAGAATGTTGAACACTTTCAAAAATACTTATTGGGGTTTCAGTGAGATGGTTCAGTGGATGAGGTTGCTTGTTGCAAAGCCTGATGACCTGAGTTTGGTCCCTGGAACCCACATGGTGAAAGAAGAGAACAAGTTCCAGCAAGTTGTTTTCTGACCTCCACATACATGGCCCAAATTTAAAAATTAAAAAGTAATTATCAAGCTGGAGAGATGGTTTAACATTTAAGAAAGTTTCCTGATTTTTCAGAGGACCTGAGTTCAGTTCCCAGCACCCAGGCTGGGTGACTTACAACTGCCTGTGACTCCAGCTCCCAGGGATCTGTTGCCTTCTAACTGCTTCAGGCCCTTACCCACATGTGATGTGCATTCACAAAGAACCTACCCATATGTGATGTGTATTCACACAGGCACTTACCCACATGTGATGTGCATTCACACAGGCACTTACCCACATGTGATGTGCATTCACACAGACACTCACATAGACATTAATAAGAATAAAAATAAATCTTAAATGGTCATTTGTGTTTCTTCTTGAGGACTGTCTGTCCATTTTATTAGCCTATTATTAAGTTTTTTGTTTTGGTGTATGTGTGGTATGTATGTGCATGTGTGTTTGTGGGTGTGCTCACCCTTGTTTATGTGTGTAGAGGTCAGTGGTCAATTTTGGAAGTCTTTCTTTCTTTCTTTACATCTTTTTTTTGAGAGAGAGAGAGGATGTCTCACTAAATCTGAAGCTCGTAATTAAAAAAAAATTTATTTTTTTTTATTTTATGTGTATGCATGTATTGCCTGCATGTAGGTAAGTGCACCCATGTCGTGCAATGCCCAGGGAGGACAGAAGAGGCTGTCAGATCCCCTGGAACTGGAGTTACGGACAGTTGTTAGCTGCCATGTGGGTGCTGATTCGAACCTGGGTCTTCTGCAAGAACAGCCAGTGTTCTTAACCGCTGAGCCATCTCTTCAACCCCTGGAGCTCATAATTTATGCTACACTGGCTGACCAGAGAGCCTGAGAGCCCCCATGATCTACCTGTGATCCCTAGTGCTGGAGTCACAGACACCCATTTAAGGAATCTGATCTCAAGTCCTCTTAAATGCAAAGCAAGCATTTTACCTATTGAACCATGTCCCCAGCCCTCATTCGCCCACTTAATCCCACTTAATAATTGGCAGTTTTGTTTGTTTGTTTGTGTGTGTGTGTGTGTGTGTGTTTAATTTTTGCAATTCTTTATATATTGTAAATATCAACTTCTGTCTGAGGTATAGCTGGTAAAGATTTCCTCCCATTTTGTAGACTGTTCACAATGCTAATTGTTTCTTTTGCTTTGCAGAAGAATTTAATTTCATGCAGCCCCATTAGTTAATCCTGGAGCTGTTTCCTATGCTATTGGAATCCTGTTCAGAAAGTTCTGGCCAATACCTATAACTTCACATGCAAGCTCCATGTTTTCTTGTAGCAGTTTCAGTGTTTCAGTTTTTAAATTAAGGCCTTTGATCCACTTTGAATAGATTTCTGTGCAGGGTGAGAGATGTGGATCTAATTTCATTTTTTTTTTTATAGGTAGCTATCCAGTTTTGCCAGCACTATTTGTTGAATCATATCATAACCACCTGTAACTCCAGTTCCAGGAGCTCCTATGCCCTCTTCTAATACATACTCACACAGATACACACATATAAACACACATAAATAAAAAAAGGGGGGGCTAGAGAAATGACTCAGTGGTTAAGAGCACTAGCAGCTCTCAGCACCCACATGGAGCCAACAATCATCCATAACTCCAGTTCCAGGTGATCCAATACCCTCTTCTGACCTCTGTGGGCACTGCATGATACCGGGTGCACTTACATACCTGCAGGCAAAACACTCATACACGTAAAATAAAATAATAAATAAAATATTTTAAAAAATAAATATTCTTTTTATTTTATGTGTATGAGTGTTTTGCCTGCAGGTATGTAAGTGCACCACATCCATGTAAGTGCTCCATCCATGCAGAGACCAGAAGAGGGTGTCAGATCCCCTGGAACTGTAGGTAAAGATGGTTGTTAGCGACCGTGTAGGTGCTGGTAATCAAATCTAGGTTTTCTAGAAAAACAAGTGTTCTTAACTGCTGAGCCATCTCTCCAGCCCCAAATCTTAAAAAAAAAGTAGAAAAGAAAATGTTTTTAGTTAGTTTTTCCCATTTAATATAATGTTGCCTACAAGTTTGTCATATAAAACTTTTATATATGTAACAAATTTCTACTGATAGTAAAAAATAATACTTGTGTAGATATTTATAAGACTTTTCTCAGGGCAAATTTCAAGGAATGTAATTATTGGGTCAAAGATGGCACATAATTTTAAGAATATAAACCTCCTGGAAGGTTTAGGAATGTAAATGTCATTTCTCCACATTTTAATTGATTGATAAAAATTCTTCCTTATCTACTTGTTAGACAAATAAAAATCAGCACTTTGTGGCTGTTTTAATGTACATTTATTAGAAGTGAGACAAAGATCATATGTTTACCATTTAAAATTTTACTTCTATAGTCTGTTTATTCCAAGGGGGTGTGTGTGTGTGTGTGTGTGTGTGTGTGTGTGTGTGTGTGTTGCTA